GCCTGGGCATCTTGGTGAGACCTTGTTTCTACAATAAATAAAAAATTTAGCCGGGTGTGGTGGCACGTGCCTGTAGTTCCAGCTACTCAGAAGGGTGAGGTTGAGGGATTGCCTGAGCCCAGCAGGTTGAGGCTGCGATGGCCATGAGAATGCCACTGTACTCTAGCCTGGGCGACAGAGTAAGACTCCAAAAAAAAAAAAAACTCAATTGCTACTCATAGCCCTTAGAATAAAGACATGGGCTCTGCATGGTCTGGCTCTATCTCCCTTTCCATCATCATCTGGTGCCATACTCCCCATCTGTTTAACTATTGCCACCCTTCTTCCCATAGCACCACATTCCACTATTCTGCAGAGTCTCTGCATATGCTTTTCCCTCTGCTAAGAAATGTTACCAACCATTTAAATTTCAGGTTAAATTTATCTTTACTTACTCAAGTAAAAACGTTCATCAATTCCTAGACTAAATTCAACATGCTTCTTGTAAACTTATATAACACTGTGTACTTCTTCTTTGTAGCATCTGTTACAACATCAGCTTTATTTTCATGGTTAATTAAAATGTCTTCCCCATGTTATAAACTCCCTGAGGGTGGACACCATGTCTGTGTGGCTCATTCTAGTAACAGAAGTGGTAGACACAAAGTAGCCATTCAATAAAACTGAGGGGGGTGGAATGGAATGTTGGTGAGGCTGTGTATATTATACAACTATTTAAAACAATGTAGTCATTATACAATATTGATTAATTTCACAGTATTATGTTGAACAAGACAAACAAAAAGTACATGCTGTATGATTCCATGTAAAAGATGTTTAAGGGCAGGCAAAACTAATTAATGATGTAGAAGTCAGAGTCATGGCTATTTTTGGCCTAAGGGGTATTGACTAGGGAGGAATATATGAGGGGAGTCATCAGAGTGCCAGAAATGTTCAATATCTCAATCTGGGTTGTGGTTACAAGGAGATGCACACATATACACAAACTTATCACATTTGTAGTATGCTTTCCTATGTGACATATCTCAACGAAAAGAAAAAGGAAAAAAAGCAAGCATTTGGGGAAGGTGGGGATAGAAAACTATATTGATGAGAAGAATGCCCACAAGACTTTAGTAAGTTAAAACAACCACACTGCAGAACACAATGTATATTACAATCTTGTCTTTTTTCAATTAATTTTTTTCACTGTAAATTGACAAATTATAATTGTATATATGTATGGGGTACAAAGTGACAGATATGTGTACAATGTAGGTTGATTAAATTAAGCTAATTAATATCCATCACCTCAAATACTTATCATTTTTTGTGAGATCATCTGAAATTTACTCACTTAGCAATTTTGAAATATACATGAACTATAGTCACCATGCTGCACAATCAATCTCAAAAAATTGAAATCCTCCTAAGTACCTTTTGACTATTATCTCCCCATTCCTCCCAACTCCCAGCCTCTGGTAACCACCATTCTACTTTCTGCTTCTGTAAGTTCAATTTTTTTTAGATTATACATACAAGTGAGATGCTATTTGTCTTTCTGTGCCTGCCGTATTTTACTTAGCATAAAGTCCACCAGGTTCACCCACGTTGTTGCAAGTGGCAGAATTTCCTTTTTTTTAAAGGTTGACTAGTATTCCATTGTGTATACACACACCACATTTTGTTTATCTGCTGATAAGACACATCAATTCCATGACTTGACTGTCTTAAAATAATGCTATAATTAACATGGGAGTGCATATAATATCTTTGACATACGCATTCCAAATTCTTTGGCTGAATACCCAAAAGTAGAATTGCTGGATCATATGGTAATTTTATTTCTAGGTTTTTGGGTTTTTTTGTAATTCTGCATAATGGCTGTACTGATTTAACAACAGTGTACAAGGGTTTCCTTTTCTTCACAGTCTTACCAACACTTACCTTTTATTTTTTTGATAACAGTCATTCTGACAGGTATGAGGTGATACTTTATTGGGGTTTTAATTTGCATTTCCCTGGTGATTTGTGATATTGAGCATTCTCTCATGTACCTGTTGGCCATCTATATATTTTCTGAGAAACATCTATTCAGGTCTTTTGCACATGTAAAATCAGGTTATTTGTTCTCTTGCTATTCAGATGTTTGAATTCCTTGTATATTTTGGCTATTAACCCCTTATCAGATGTATGGCTTGCAAAATCTCTAAGTTATTCTCTCACTGTTTTTCCCTTTGCACTGCAGAAATAATTTTAAAAATTAATGCCTAATGTCAAGAAGATTTTCCACTGCTTTTTTTAGTAATTGTACAATTTCAGGTGCTATGTTTAAGACTTTAATCCTTTTTGAGCTGATTTTTGTATATGACATAAGACAAGGGTCTAATTTCATTTTTCCGCATGTGGATATCCAGCTTTCCCAACATTCTTTACTGAAGAGACTGTCCTTTTCCTATAGTGTGTTCTTGACACTATTGTGGAAAATCAGCTGACCATTAATTTCTGGACTCTCTGTTTTGATCCATTGGTCAATGTGTCTATTTTTATGCCACTACTGTGCTGTTTTAGTTATTATAGCTTTGTAATATAGCTGACGATCAGATAATGCGATTCCTCTAGCCTCGTTCTTTTTGCTCACAATTGCTGGGTCTATTCAGAGCCTTTCGTAGTTCCACATGAACTTTAGAATTTTCTATTTCTATAAAAAACACGAGGCTGGGTACAGTGGCTCAAGCCTGTAATTCCAGCATTTTGGGAAGCCGAGGTGAGAGGATCACCTGAGCCCAGGAGTTCAAGATCAGTCTGGGCAAAATGGTGAGGGCTCATCTCTACAATAAATCAAAAAATTAGCTGGGCAAGGTAATGCACACCTGTAATCCCAGCACTTGGAAGGCTGAATGATGTGGAAGGACAGCCTAAACCCAGCAGACTGAGGCTGCAGTAACCATGAGCATGCAACTGCATTCCAGCCTAGGAGACAGAGTAGAAACTCCAACTCAAAAAAAAAAAAAAAAAGAAAAGTCATTGGAATTTTGATAAGATTGCACTGAATCTATAGATTACTTTGGATAATATAGACATTTTGATAATATTAATTCTTTCAATCCATAAACACAAAATATCTTTCAATTTATTTGTGATTTCTTCAATTTCTTTCATCAGTGTTTTATAGTTTTCAATGTACAGATCTCGTTAAATTTATTTGTAAGTACTTTCTGGTAGCTTTTATTAATGGGACTGTTTTCTCGATTTCTTTTTCAGATAGTTCATTGTTAGTATATAGCAATACTTATTTTTGTATGTTGATTTTGTATCCTGTAACTTTACTACATTCATTTATTAATTCTAACAGGTTTTTTTTTGCAGAATCTTTGATTTTTTTTCACATATAATATCACATTGTTAGAAAACAGTGACAATTTTACTTTTTCCTTTCCTATTCAGATGCTTTTTATTTCTTTTTCTTGCTTCATTGTTCTAGCAAGTCCTATGTTGGCTAGAAGTGGCTAGAGTGGACATCCTTGTCTTGTTCCTGAGATCTTGTTTTGATAAAACAACATACATATACTTTCTAGTTTCCAGTTTCTTCAAGTGATAGAAATCCTACACAAACTAGTTTAGGCAAAAAATTCACTTATTGATACATACTAGGAAAGTTCACTTAGCTAGGGCCACATAACCACAAATAATTTTTATTAAGAATGGCAATGAAATCTTCTAGATTTTCAGAAGGCTAAAAATTATTAGAGCACCACTCAGAAGTGACCATGAAAATGACAAGATCACTTTTCTCAGAGTGCTAGAATCAGGGCAGACCAGATTTCAAATGAGTCTTCTTGAGCTCCATCAAAAAAAAAAAAAAAACCCTGTGTTGTACACCTGCAGAAACTTGCAATGCATTTTAAGTTACAGAAGAAAGTAAACACCAGATATAGTTTTCAAACATGTGTCCTCAATATTAAAGATAAACAGGTAAGATTCCCTGAGATATAGGCACTAAACTACTTCTCAAATGGGCAACACTAAGTAGCTAACTGCAAAGTAATTAACACCAAGAATTCACTTCGTGATGACACTGATCCGCAACAAAAATGCAGGACATCCCAGCCAATCATATATGAATCCTTTAATATCATTAGGTTGACAAGTGTTCAGGGCTTCAAAATATAAAAGTATCTCCATGTCACACCAAATTCAATGACTTCTAAAATTCACACATAATCTTTCATTTTAATAAAAGTTTTAGAACTATTATGCTTTCAAAGTACTTAGGAGAAATGAAACGGGTATGTTTTATACATCCCAAACAAATATTTAATTCCTTTAGACATTCAACAAACATCAGCACCCATAATGCAGACTGAACCAGGAGAAACTGCTGGTATTTGACTATTTTCACCTATAAAAAATAGCAATTTCATATGATTCAACCAAAAATCATGCATTTTCCTAGTTTTCTGGACACAACAGTGAACAAACTCCCTGGTTCCATATGGCACTTATGTTCTGTGTGTATGTATTTCAGGGGCATGGGAGAGCCAGATAAATGAACAACCAAATTCAAGTGGCATTACATATTTTGAGCAGAACACAAAAGGTTAAGAAGGATAGTGTAAGACAATGGTTGTTGCTATTTTATATGGGTCGGTGGTCAGAAAAGACCTCACTGATAAGATGACAGATGAGTAAAATTCTAAAAAGGGAGTAACATTTTTAGATTCTCCTATAATGATAAAACCTGGTCATTAACATGAAAAATTTCTGCCAGGCTTATGCCAAAAAGTATAAGAACATATAATTCTGCTTAAATAGAGTATTACAATAATTACAGCTCTAATGAAACTTGTAATCAATCTATACCTAACATGTACACACCATTAAAATTACAATTGCTATTTACAGTTCTTGTTCTACATGCAACACAAGTTTCATGTAAGCTCTTATTTTTTAATCCATGTTTCAATCTAATAAATATCCATGCACAAGAACATACATAAAGATAAGCAATTTATTCTTACATCTTTTGAAGAACCTGGGCCATCACAACCCCACTCGTTAAATCTTCCACAGTCTGGCATGGTGCATCCACGTTAAATGTCTGTATCTGAAGGGGGAGAAAAGGGAAAAAGAGATTCTATAGTTACCTATATCTGTATGATTTCTTGGGCTTCTTTATTTTTGTGATTATCTCATCTTGGAAGTTGGAATGAATTTTAAAAAGGAGAGCAGTTGGAAACTTTTTCCCTTATGGGAAATTTCCTGCAGACTATTATTTTAATTTTCCCCCACTGGTAAAAGAGAAATTGTGGTGAATGCTAGGTGACATGCCGGCATCCATTCTATTCATATATGATCAGTTTAAGAAAATCACAGTACCTTCATCCCCTCTGAGAGGGACTCACTTGAAGATACACAGGGCAAAGACAATTTGGACCAAAGAGATACAAGGAGACGCTGCTGGGAAAGAACAATCTCCTCCGATATTAAATGTGCTGCCTCTACTACTGCTAGCAGTCATCTTATGAGTGGAAAGGAAGCCATCTTAAGATGAGACTAATGTGGGCTGGGCGCCGTGGCTCAAGCCTGTAATCCCAGCACCTTGGGAGGTGAAGCAAGAGGATTGCCTGAGCTCAGGGGTTTGAGACCAGCCTGGGCAACTTAGTGAGACTTTGTTTCTTCAATAAATCAAAAAATAGCCGGGTGTGGTAGTGCACGCCTGTAGTTCTAGCTACTTAGAAGGCTGAGGCGGAAGGATAACCTGAGCCCAGTAGGTCAAGGTTGTGGTGGTTGTGAGCATGCCACTGCACACCAGCCTGGGCAACAGAGTGAGACTTCAACTGGAAAAAAAAAAACAACCCACAAACAATGAGACAAATGTAGAGAAAGGCAGAGAGGAGGAACATAAAAACTAGATCTTTGAGGTAAAAACCAAACGACTTGATGCCTCCTGCTATGTGAGATAAATTTTTTAATTGCTTAAGCCTGGCTAGGTTGAGGTTTCTGTTACTCGAAGCCAAAATATCTTTATAGAGGTGTATAAGTCAAAGTGTGGCTACGGTAGATATTCCATTCATTTTAATTTCAAATATATTCTAAACTAGAACTTACTTTGTACTGGCCAATAATGTGGCCAAAAATGCAGTACACTTCCTAATAGTAGAAACTATCTCTAAAAGTAAGAAAATAGGCCAGGCTCGGTGGTTCAGCCTGTAATCCCAGCACTTTGGGAGGCTGAGGCAAGTGGATTGTCTGAGACTGTGGGTTCAAGACCCACCTGGGCAACTTGGCAAGACCTCGTCTCCACAATAAATCGAAAATTAGCTGGGTGAGGCAGAGCGTGCCTGTAGTTCCAGCTACTTGGAAGCCTGAGGCTGAAGGATTGCTGAAGCCCAGCAGTTCGAGGCTGCAGTGGCCAGGAGCGTGCTACTGCACTCCAGTCTGGGTGAGGGAGTGAGACTCCAACTCAAAAAAAACAAAATAAAATAAAAATAAAAGTAAGAAAATAAAGCTGCGCCAATAATCATACTCAATCATACAATACCCAGGACTCAGAAGGAAATAAATCACTGAGGATAAACTATAGGCCATTATCTCATAGAATTTATAATTTAATGAAACAAAACAGTATTACAGGAAGTGCAAACAGCAAGCTCCAAGATTAGAAGTGAGAGTGGGATGCAATCTAAGAGGCTGATGCTGGAGGATCACTTGGAGCCAGAAGCTCAAGACTATCCTGGGCAACACACCTAGAGATCCCGTCTGTACAAAAAAAATTAGCCAAGCAGAAAAATTAGCCAAGTGTAGTGGTATGCACCTGTAGTCCTAGCTACTCAAGAGGCTAAGGTGAAAGGACTGCTTGGGTCCAGAAGTTCAAGGTTACAGTGATTAACTATTGTGCTACTGCACTACAGCCTGAGTGACAGAGCAAGATCCTGTCTCTTAAAAAAAAAGAATGATTTATCATGCAAAACCTTATAAGTCACATATGGACTTTATCCTAAGAGTAAAGTAAGCAAAGGAATTGAAGCAGGAGCATGAGACCATGAGGTCTGCAGTGGATAAATATCACACTGGCTGCAATATGAAGAAAGAATTGGAAAAAATGAGGCGAGGAGACCTATTTGAGTAGGTTTATATACTAACAAAGATGAGGATAAACTGGGTAGTGACAATGGGAACACTGGGATTTTTACTTATTGGGTTAAGAAAGAAAATTGTTGGGTCAAAATGTGTACACATTTTAAGGTTTTTGATAAAACTGCCCTTAATAAGTGCTATATCAATTTATTCTCTTACCAACGGTAGGTAAGTGTCCACTTGTCTGTACCGTATCTTTCAAAAAGAACTACTAACAGTACAGTCAGTAGCTTCTTCGTATTTCATATAAGAGAATCTTTTTTTTTTTGAGTTGGAGTCTCACTCCTGTCGCCCAGACTGGAGTGCAGTGGCCGCTGCCAGCCACTGCAGCCTCGACCTGCTGGACTCCGGCAATCCTTCCGCCTCAGCCTTCCAAGTAGCTGGAATTACAGGCACGCGCTACCATGCCCGGCTGATTTTTTAAAAAATTTATTGTAGAGATGAGGTCTCGCCAAGTTGCCCAGGCAGGTCTCGAACCCACGGGCTCAGGCAATCCACTCACCTCAGCCTCCCAAAGCACGGGATTACAGCCTGAGCCACCGAGCCCGGCTCATATAAGAGAATCTTATGGGTTTTGGTGGTAGAGGCCAAGGGAATTATCTAAAATATCCTCACAGCAAGCAGTTTTTACTTAGGTGTCTATTTAGGAGAAATGATAAGAGTATCCTTTTAAACCATCCATTGACGCTAACCTAATATATGGTAGAGGTTCAATAAATGATTACCAAATAAATGGAACAAATAAACATCATCTGCATAAACTGATTTTGAATTTTGCTCGATATTATCTCCAGTTGCCTCCTCACTGGTAATGTGGTAATTATGTAAGAGAAATAAGCATTTGCTTTTGTTTTGGAGTTGCTAGGCTAATAGTACATTAAAAAAAAAAAAACACAAAAATCTCTTTCTCATAGTTTTGTTTAGAAGGAAAAAAAGAGGCAGCAGTGAGGACCATGTTTCAATTTATCTCCAACCTTAACACAATGCTTGACATAGAACAAGTCTTCAATGAATGCTGCTTTGAATGAAATGAACTAATTCTAAAACCCAGGTTTGCTAATTTGTCATGGAATCTTAAATAAGTTGCTTCAACTCTCTTAATACCAGTTTTTCCATGTAAAGACTGGGGAAAAAATATCTTATGGTGGGGCGTGTTGCTTCAGGAAAGAATGAGAAAACAAATGCACAATAGGTACTTTGTTGTTGTTGTTTTTTTTTGAGTTGGAGTCTCACTCTGTTGTCCAGACTGGAATGCAGTGGCCGCTCCCGGCCACCGCAGCCTCAACCTGCTGAGCTCCGGCGATCCTTCTGCTTCAGCCTTCCGAGTAACCGGAATTACAGGTGCGCGCTACCACACCCAGCTAATTTTTTTTGATTTATTGTAGAGATGAGGTCTTGCCTGCCACATTAGGTACTTTGAAAAGACCAAAGCAATAGTCCCTAAACCTGGGTGAGTATATATGACAATCATCTACAACGTTTTTATTTTGAAAATACACATTTCTTGGCTTCCCCTACTGAATCAGAATCTCAATCTCTGTGTGTCTGTCTCTTTCTGTCTCGTGTGTGTGTGTGCACGCGCGCGCGTATGTGTGTAAGAAGCTGGGAATCTATTTTTAACAAGTTGGGCACTGATTTGGCATTTGGAACCCTCTGATCTAGAGCACTACCAAATGAAAGAGATGGATGTAAGATTAGAAAACAGCCTCCGGCCAATAAAAAAACAAACCAAAAAACCTCAATATAGCAAGTAATTCAAGAAAGCAAGTAATTTAGTTGTAAGACTTGATCTGTTTTTTTTCTCTTGAGACTTGTAGAAAGCGAAACTTTCATTTGTAAAATGTGGGGCTTTCTTCAATTATTTTCTCTGCACTAACCCTTGAGGCACACAGTTGCTCATGAGGGCTAGAAATGTCCGCCTCGGCTGTGAGATGAAAGTGAAGCAGATGTCAATGAAAACTAGTTTCTTTTCTGGAATGATGGAATGTTCTTGGAATTAGATAGTTGTGATGACTGCAAGTCTTTTGAACATACTAAAAATGAAAGAATTGTATACTTTAAAAGTATACATTTTTATGGTATGTAAATTATTATTATTGTTGTTGTTATTTTGAGAAAAAGTCGAGCTTTGTCACCACCAGGGTGCAGTGATGTAATCATAACTCACTGTAGCCTTGAACTCCTGAGCTCAAGTGATCCTCTGCCTTTGATGTAGCTAGAACTACAGATATGTGCCATCACACCAGCTTTTTTTGTGTAGAGACGAGGTCTCACTATGCTGCCCAGGCTGGTCTCAAACTCCTGGGCTCAAATGATCCTCCTGTCTCAGCCTCCCAAAGTGCTGGGATTATATGTGTAAGCCACTATGCTTCACCAGTATATGCATTCTACCTCAATTTTTTTTTTTATTTTTTTGAGTTGGAGTCTCACTCTGTTGCCCAGACTGGAGTGCAGTGGCCGCTCCCAGCCACCGCAACCTCAACCTGTTGGGCTCTGGCGATCCTTCCACCTCAGCCTTCCAAGTAGCTGAACTACAGGCACGCGCTACTACACCCGGCTAATTTTCTGATTTATTGTAGAGATGAGGTCTCGCCAAGTTGCCCAGGTAGGTCTCGAACCCGTGGGCTCAGGCAATCCACTCACCTCAGCCTCTCAAGGCACGGGACTACAGGCTGAGCCACCGAGCCTGGCTCTACCTCAATTTTAAAAAATCTATCACTTGACCAGCCTCGGTGGCTCAGCCAGTAATCCCAGCACTTTGAGAGGCTGAGGCAAGTGGACTGCCTGAGCCTGCGGGTGTGAGACCAGCATGGGCAACTTGGCAAGACCTTGTCTCTACAATAAATCAAAAATTAGCCAGGTGTGGTAGTGCATGCCTGTAGTTCCGGCTACTTGGAAGGCTGAGGCAGAAAGATTGCCAGAGCCCAGTGGGTCGACACTGTGGCCGTGGGTGTGCCACTGCACTCCAGCCTG